CCCCAGCCAAAAAAAAAAAAAAAAAAAATGATTAGAATAATCAACCACATTGTATATCGACTAAATAAAAATTTAAAGGAAAAAAAAAGAAATAAAATTATGTATTTTTTAAAAAAAGAAATATTATCCTAGAATAAAAGCTAGAAATGTTGAATTTGTTTAATTATGTTTGGGTGTTAATAGCTACATACTTAAAAAATTTAAAAACTTTATTAAAATTCTTTTAGTACAAAAAAAAATGAACTCTTGTCATTTGCAGCAATGTGGATGAGCCTGGAAGACATTACGTTAAGTGAAATATATCATACACAGAAAGATAAACATCGCACATTCTCATTCATATGTGGAAGCTAAGAAAAAGTTGATCTTATAGAAATAGAGAGTAGAATTGTGGTTACTAGAGGCTGGGAAGGGGAGGGGGAAGAAGAGTTAAGGAGAGAAGTTGGTTAACAGATGCAAAATTACAGCCAGATAGGAAAATAAGTTCTAGTGGTCTACAGTAGCACTAGGTGTCTATCATTAATAATAATTTATTGTATGTTTTCAAATGGCTAGAAGAGAGGAGCTCAAATGCTCTCAGCACAAAGAAATTATAAACTTTTGCAATGATAGATGTGCTGGTTACCCTGATTTGATCATCACACATTGTACACATGTACTGAAATATAACTCTGTACACCATAAGTATGTACAATTATTATGTTCCAATTTTAAAATAATATAAAAGTTATCCAAAAAATAGTTATCCATCAAATACGAAGCCTAGTCAAATAAATTCAGAATAAAAATGAGATTAGAAAGGTTTACATAAATATAAATTTCGAAGCAGGAAACCAGCCTCACCTCTAGCTGCATTTTGTATAAAGTCTTAGCTGCGTGGTCCATCAGTGCTGTGTCCTACACAAACACAATGAGAAGAGCCTAACCACGTAGCTGAGAGCAGAGGTGAGAGAAAGCCTAGCAGTCCCGGTTTAAATCCTGCCTCCATCACTTAGAAGCTGTGTGATGTTAGAGAAGTCGCTTCCCTCAACCTCTGTCTGCTCATCTGTAAAATGGGGATGATAACAGTATCTAATTAATGAGATTGTGTGAGGGTTAAATGAGCAAATGATATAGAGCGCTGAGCACGGTATCAGACACATGGTGAGTGTTCAGTAATTATCCACTACTGCTATTGCTGCTCTTGTGTCTTTCTTAACTATCTCATCTTCTTTTGGGAACTTAGGAAGTGAATGTGTCCAGGCATTTTCACTGATTACAGTCTCCCAAAACAAGTAAAAACATAGCTCTAACTCTAGCAAAACATGACATAGGCTTTTGTATCTAATTTTTTTTGCTTCATTTTGTGCAGAGTCAACTCACTTTACATTAACCAATGCTTCCTGATTTCTTTTTCAGTTAATCAAGACAGTTTTGAACATGCTTTAGAAGGTGAGTTCCATAATGAAAAACTCCAATAAATCAAGCTAATAGTAGAAAACAGGGCAGGTCCTTGAACATCTTTATCCAGGTGCCTAAAAACATAAGATTTTCAGTTAATCAAGACAGTTTTGAACATGCTTTAGAAGGTGAGTTCCATAATGAAAAACTCCAATAAATCAAACTAATAGTAGAAAACAGGGCAGGTCCTTGAACATCTTTATCCAGGTGCCTAAAAACATAAGAAATAAATTGTGCCTTTACACTGCAGAGGATAATTTGAAAACAAATGATATTATAAAGTATGAAATAATTGGATTTTTGATTTGGGGCCCTAAATGTAACTCAAAGGGATTTGACACCAGTCCTATACATGAAAAGGTAAGGAAAGCTGAGAGTCCATGTGCCTGAGAAAGGTATAACCCTAATTGTAAAATTTTTCAACCACATGGTGCTATTTGGGGAAATAAATCTAGTGATCCTCACTTTCCACACTGAGCATCCTCGGTTTTCCCCTGAGTCTTTTTCTTCTCCAGCACACCTGTACCTTCTCTCCTTTCCCCCTTGTTTTATTAGGACTTCCCCAGTGAGGTTTATTAATGTGGAACAGAGGTTAAAAGCTATCCAGGATTTTATTTTTGGTTTTGTATTTAGTTTGTGGTTCCTTCCCTTTCCAACCCCTGTCATAGGTAAAACATTCTGCGTTCTGTGTTACCTCTATTAAATCTGAGCTGTGATGTCAGAAAAAATAAATAATACATTGTTTCATTTTTTAAGTGTTTCGACCAATTGAGCAGTTTTTATGATTATTGCTGGAGCCATATTTAGCTTGCTGGCTCTCAGAATCTGGGGCTGTGTGAAACACTTTTCATTAGTTGCTGTTCCTTGTAGCAGGTGACATTTTATTCCAAGAAGGTAGAGTCAGGCTTCAAACACAAGTGTAGGGGAAGAGTATGTATTAGTCACTCTGCTTGGAAAATAGAGGGCATTTTGTGTCATTCTCTGTTCAGGGCATCCTTTTTCTGCCTTTTGCCAACCAATGGACCATGAGATTGTCTCAAAGGGTGGGGGTTGCTCAGAAATTACAAGCACCCTCATAATGTTTTGTGCTCATGCATTTATCGTGGGCTTTAGGATTGATTTTTCAGACCAATAAAGTGGTGGTTAATGGATTTTAGATTGGTGTACAGCTAAGCGCTGTTAGATGTGACCATGGAGAAAAGTAGAGGAACCTTGGAGGCCAAGCTTCTAGAAAAGATGTGGAGTCTCCCTGCAAGCCCTGCTGGGAAAACACTCTGGGTCCCACAATAGCTACCACAGTTCGTGCAATTGCCACAAACATTGGGAGGTAGTGGGAACCTCCATGTGAGGCTGAGAGAGCTGCCCAAGAACATGCAGCAGTGGCCTCTGGGAATCAGCACTGGGTCTTCACAGTTGGGGTGTCATCAGGGTGTGCAGAATTGCCAGCTGTCCCAGCTGCTCAGAGCCCACTCCTGGAGAGTCTGCCTGACTAGCTCTGGGAGCCACACACACATGCACACCCTCGACTGGATGCAGCAAGCTCCCCAGCTGGGCAGCTGGGTTTGGGAGCGCCTGCTTAGAAACCTTGTGGCTGACCCCCAGTACATCCAACTCATGGACATACAGGTAGCTCACCACTCCCAAATCTGGGGTCCAGACCATTCCTATTTCTCCTCTTCACTCCATGAAAACGTCTAGAGAATCTGCCTTCCCAGTTACCACATTTAGGATTTTCTCCAAGTCTTCCCTTGAATTGGATTTTAACCAGATTTCAACCACACCCACCCCCCAGAAATGGATGCGGTATGATTAGGGCTCCAACAGTGTGATTCTTGGTAGCCCCTATGGCCGTCGTACCCAAGGATGAGTCTGGGCTCCCTGGCAAAGCACCAGTGCTGTTGCCTCTAGTCCCTGCGTCATCTCCCCTCTGGAGATGGTTGTCCACTGTTGAAGACTCTGTGACCTCAGCTCTCTGAGTGGGTGTGGAGTTGGGAAGGTAGGCTGTCACCTGGGAGCCAGGGACCTGTGTGAGTTGGGCGTGTGAGAAGTGAAGACCTCACTGGCTCGTGTGTTCAGTAGCAGAAGCGGCAGCAGAGTCGTCACTGGAAGGGGGCAACATGGCGCTTGCCATCTTCATCCCGGTCCTCGTCATCTCCTTACTGCTAGGAGGAGCCTACATTTACATCACAAGGTAGGGGACTGAGGGGAGACGAGCTGCCACTCAGCCACTCAGCCACCAGCGCACTGGTGGGCGTTTCACCTCCCTGAGACTCAGAGTGTAGTGGCATTTGTGTGATTGTAGAAATGTCGTGTGTGACTCAACTCAACTCTGCAGGNGACCAATAAAGTGGTGGTTAATGGATTTTAGATTGGTGTACAGCTAAGCGCTGTTAGATGTAACCATGGAGAATGGTAGAGGAACCTTGGAGGCCAAGCTTCTAGAAAAGAAGTGGAGTCTCCCTGCAAGCCCTGCTGGGAAAACACTCTGGGTCCCACAATAGCTACCACAGTTCGTGCAGTTGCCACAAACATTGGGAGGTAGTGGGAACCTCCATGTGAGGCTGAGAGAGCTGCCCAAGAACATGCAGCAGTGGCCTCTGGGAATCAGCACTGGGTCTTCACAGTTGGGGTGTCATCAGGGTGTGCAGAATTGCCAGCTGTCCCAGCTGCTCAGAGCCCACTCACCTGTGTGAGTTGGGCATGTGAGAAGTGAAGACCTCACTGGCTCGTGTGTTCAGTAGCAGAAGCGGCAGCCGAGTCGTCACTGGAAGGGGGCAACATGGCGCTTGCCATCTTCATCCCGGTCCTCGTCATCTCCTTACTGCTGGGAGGAGCCTACATTTACATCACAAGGTAGGGGACTGAGGGGAGACGAGCTGCCACTCAGCCACCAGCGCACTGGTGGGCGTTTCACCTCCCTGAGACTCACAGTGTAGTGGCATTTGTGTGATTGTAGAAATGTCGTGTGTGACTCAACTCAACTCTGCAGG